ATTGTTTTTTCTATCTCTTGAAACAGGATGTTATTGCTGGTTTTCTTTATGCTCTTCTCATCTTGGCCGTCTTCCTTCCAACTGTGGATCTAGTAGATAATTTCAACTTAACTTTCAAATATGCTCCACTAATCATTATCAGTCTTCACCTTGCCTTGGGGGTGTTTTCTTTCACTCTAGACACGTGGAGCACATCCCGAGGAGATACAGCTCAGATTTTGGGCGGCGGTGCTGGAGTTGCCTGTGGCTCCTATGCTACCTATGGGCTGAATCTAATGCCAGATCCTTCACAAGAAATGCTTCCATTAATTCCCTCACTCACCTTAAATCTCTTTGGAAAGGCTGCACTGCGATTATTGATTGGATTAGTTTTTCTGTTGCTGGTCAGAATGATCATGAAGAAGATCACCATCCCACTGGCCTGTAAAGTCTCCGGTATTTCTAGTGCAGATGTTCGAGAAGCCCGACAGCACATGGAAGTTGAACTGCCTTATCGCTACGTTACTTACGGAACGATAGGATTCTCAACGACTTTCTTGGTTCCTTGCTTATTTTGCCTAATTGGACTGTCCTCATGTTAGTGTTTTCTTCACATGGAAACCGTGATGGACAGTTGATCTATGCGAGAGCTGGTAAACCTTTTGAGAAGTGCTATGATATTGCTTCTGCAAAAATTACATGCGGCAGGCAGTGAGCTCAAATCTTTGATTCTGGCTAAAAACCTTATAGATTCAGGTCCTTGAGAAATGCCATGTCTAGTCTTACCATTGTAACAACATTATAAATAGCAAATGGGTTTGTGTGTATGCATAAATACGCATCAGACTATAAATGTTCTCTCTATTTAAATATGTTAAAGCAGTTATGTTTACAACTGATCCAGAAGCTCTGTCTATGGTCAATTAAAGCCATGTCATATCCTTTAGCCACAAATGGCTATATTGTAATGAAAAAGCTTTCTTTCCTTCTCATATACGGACCTATTTTTTAAACACACAAAAGACGCTATGCTAATAAACCTAAAGTTTAATGAAACTTGGCTTACAGCACCTGATAGCTTTAGAGCCTTTTCTGTACTCCGTATTTTTAATTTGTGACCACAAACCACTTATTCCATGTACTGTATTCTATGCTTGATAATTGTGCCTTTCTGTTGGAATGCACCACATACTGTGAGGTACACATATACAACTACTATAAAGTAGTATAAACATATTCTAAATTAGGTGAATATTTTAAAATGTAGGCTGCAGTGTGATTAATAAAAATAATTTTTATTATGTAAAATAAAAACTTTAATGGGGCTTACCCACTTTAATTCACATTCTAATACTCTTAATGGATATTTTAAAGTGTAATATACTTAGGTTATTGGAAATAATACATTTTCCTGATTCTCCTATTTTTTTAATTAGGCATTAACTATATCTGAAATTAATGAAGTGTTAAATTATATTTTTAACATATTTTTTCTTGATTTCAAATGAAGTCATCTGTAACAATGGTGGCTTTAATAAGAAACATATAAACTTGTACATTGTGCATTGTATTTCCCATGCTATTAGATCAGTTATGATCAAATTGTGGGAAAAGGTTCTGTTGTCCTTTTTTTGTTTGGAAACTCCTCCACAAAATAATCAAATGTATTATGGTACTAATTACGTCTAAGGTCATGTAGCCTATTATTTCTGATCAGTGACATGCTGTCTAAACAAATACTAGTGAGGGAAAAGCTTTATTTTTCTTGTGACATAATGACACATGACATGGTCTTTGTTGTCCTAGAGATCTTTGGAGATCAGCAGGATACATAGAAGAAAGGTAAACAGAAGGGGAAAGAGTAGAAAAAGAGTGTGTTCTCTCATATGTCTGACTTTGTATTATACCAGCAAAATTAAAATACTCTTTGTGTATAATGCATAATGAATGGATTAGGGGGATTGATGTGCTCCAATTTATGTGTTGTTTACATACTTCTCATGCACTTGTAAACTGCATTTATGGATGCTTCTACTAGGGTTACATAGCAGTCCAGATTCAGAGGGCAAAGGATGTTTTATTAATATGGGACAAGAATGGAGCACATGATGGAAAGCCATTAAATGAATTGCACCTTTTCCTGGGATTACATGGCATCTGCAAAAGGTATTTTGCGTGATCCCAATGAGACACAGTGTCTTGAACTGTTCTGAACAGGCCTCCAAATCTCATTTTGCTTTTTGAATATGTCATGCTGCACAGACCTTATCTTTATTCCCAGCTGTCCCAAAAGTGCCTACTGAGTACATTGTATACATGGAGAATATACATAGGCAAATGATCCTGTATGTTAAAGGCAAAAAATTGCTGTTGCTATCATATTCTTATCTGTAAGAACATATTCTATATGTTCTATAGACTATATGTTCACGGTACATCCTATTGTGTAAATTAAGGCGATTAAGCCTTTGAAAAAGGTGGTATTGATTATTATAGAAGTCTGTTTTGTGTTTTCCTGGGGCCTCTTTGCAATATGCAACGACATGACTGCAGGACACTGCAATTGTCATAAATATGAGTCAGTTGCCAAGTGTCTGAATTTTGATCACGTAACCATGGGGATGCTGCAACGGTCATAAGTGTGAGAAACAGTCATAAGTTACTTTTTTCACCCCTGTTATTTCTAATGGTCACCTGTATATGGTACGTAGCCTATTGTAGGCAATGTTTCTTTTTTCATAGAAGTGTTACTAGTCAGCTCTTCTTGAGCCTCATCAAAAAGGGTGGAAATTAATCAGGAATTTGTATTTTGATAATAATAGTACATCAGAACATTCAAATAATGCAAATCTCCAGAATTCTTAAACAGGTTGAACGCTTAGGAATTAATATCTCTATATTGGGTTGCAGAAGGAGTATGTGTATTGCGATTTTCCAAGAGTCTATAATTTATAATAAAAAAGAGCCCAGGAACAAGAGACATTATGAAGGTATACAATTACCGTATTTTTCAGAGTATGCCACAATTTTTCCCTCCTAAAAGAGGCTGAAAATTTGGGTGCATGTTATATTCCGAATGCAGCCCTGCCCACTCACCGGCCCCTACCTCTTGGCCTCTGCGTGTCTTCTTCCTGGCTGCAGAGATGGCCACTGACAATGGCTTGTGTTTTTAGGCTCTGCGCCTTGTGTTTTCAGCCTCCAAATGCTTGACGCACGGTGCCCAAAATGGATGCCCGGAACAGCTGCTGCCTTGTCTTACCCCTTCCCTGCTTTGCCTGCTTTAGTCACGGGAGCTCCCTCCGAGGATCAGCTGTATTTTGAAGCTGCTTTTCAGCCCAAACACGATCTAAGGTGTTATGTCCTCAACTTGTGACCAGTCTTACGACTGACAGCCCNGGAATGATTGCAGAGTGCTCCTGGAGGGGGGCACCAAAAATGAACAAAAAATGACCTGTTTTTTTTTGCAAAAACAGGCCCATTTTTGTCAAAAAAAATGCATGCATAGCCTTATGGAGGCTTATAGAGTTCTGCTGGAGACTGGGGGGGGGGGCAAAAAATGGCCCCGTTTATTGCTCATTTCTGCCCTCCCAAGCCCCCAGGAGCTCTCTGAAAGCCTCTATAAGGGTATGCATGGCCATTTTGGTGAAGGGAGCGGGGCTTTGGGAGGCAAAAAATGCAGTATTCAATGTATAAGACACACCTAGATTTTCAGCCTCTCTTTTGAGGCAAAAAGGTTCGTTTTATACTGCGAAAAATACGGTAGTTGTGACCAGATTATTGCAAGGTTGAATTTTTGAATTTATTTATTTATTTATTTATTTATTTATTTATTTATTTACTTATTTACTTATTTATTTATTTATTATTGAATTTATATAGCAGCCTATTCGTCTGTGGTGACTCAAGGCGGCTTACAAAATATAAAACCCCATTTAAAACAGTAAAACTAATAAAAAGACTGCAATAAATTAATATAATAAAACCATACATCACCTCCTGGCCCAGCAACAGCAAATTACACGAGCCATTTAATGGACTGGGTTCCCCAGGCCCATTGGCAGAACCAGGTCTTCAGTGCCTTCTGGAAGAGAATTAGAATGGGGGCAATTCTAATCTCAGGGAATGATGTTCTAGTGAGAGGGACCACCACAGAGAAGGCCCTTCTTCTGGGTCCTACCAGATGTATCTCCCTCAGGGACGGACCCACAACATTCCCTGCCTCCATGTTCTAATGGGTCAGGTAAATGTGACCAGCAAGAAACAGTCCCTCAGATAACCTATGATAATAGAAATATTCGGACAGCGTCTTCAGACAACGCTAGGCCTTCGGCTTTGAAATGGAGATGAGCACCACCCCCTAGAGTCTGGAACAACTAGCACATATGTGCGAGGGGAACTTTTACCTTTATGATAATAAAAGAGGACTTTTAAGACAAAATAAATCACGAAATGATCAAATACATTTGGATTTCAGTTAGAAATCTATCTTTAACTGAGAAACACTTCTCTGTTGAAAGAAGAATAAAATGCAAGAGTTGGTTCTGTTTCTTTCCGTAAGCAGAAAGCTTTACCAATTCCAAAAGAGCAGTCTTTAAAGTTTTTCAAAGTTTTTGCAAAGCTGGATTGTTGTCTAACTACATCAAAGTAGCGGAGATTGAGATTATAAAATGAAACCAAGGGAACAATGGTTACAGAGGGATTTAGTTTTCAGCAGTTTTTGTACGCAGAGTTAAGAGAAAAAAAATCAAAATTGATAGCTGGAGATTTGATAGAGCGTGGAAGATAGAATTTGAAACTGAATTATGTACAAATGATGATGATGTAATTGCCAAAATGTGTATTGAATGTGCTGAAATTCAAACAAGTGAAAAAAGTGTATGATTATTGTATTTTATGCTTGTATTGTAAGTTACTATTTTGAATGATGACATCCATGTATTGTAAAAATTCAGTTGCAAATAACTTGGAAAATTATATAGTTATTTGATTCAAAACTGTATGTCTTGTTTTTCTTTCCTTAGTATCCTTTCATGTACGGGCTGATTCTCACCATTTGCTGGTCTTCTCTGGTTTGTTTCAGTCGAGTATATATGGGAATGCATACAATTCTGGTAAGTAAAAGTCATAAATTCTACAACTTAACATTAAATAATGGTCATATTGTAATGCATATTTTCTGAAAAATTATGTTAGCTTAAGCTCTACTGTAAAAGACAATGATGATCATATTTCTTACAGCAACATTTAGGCTACACTTGGTCATTTGATAATTGGGGATGAGTTTAATCCAACTAGAAGGCGGAGCTAAATGTATTGTAGTCTTTTTCAAACTTGGCAACTTTAAGATGTGTGGACTTCAACTCCCAGAATTCCCCAGCCAATTCAAATTACAAACTTTGAAAAATACCGCTGTAGAGTCTAAGCATTCCTTCTCAGTCCTGGCTCTCTCTTCTGCTGCGAAGGAAGCATTTTCCCCTCTAGCCACATTTCAAGGCAGAAGATCCAAAACTCCAGATGGAGGCTTTTTGATGCTCCATTGGTAGAATGGATAGGCAGAAAATAATCATGCTGACCACAATTAGGCTGGAAACTCCTGCAGAGTATTTTCCCTCCAGTCAAACAATTTATGTTGCCTGGAGCACGGAAGTACATATTCCTTCCTGTTTTGGCCTTCTTTTCAATGTCTGTTTGGGTTCCCTTTATTCCTCTGATGGAACCCAGAATGATTTTGTATCAGGTAGCAGCAACTTCCTTGGCTGATCTTGAAAAGGCTAGACAGGGTTGGATCTGGTTAGCATTTATTTAGTTATATACCAGCATTGGGACAAGATTGAGAAGTGAGGAAGAAGGTTGCTACCAAGCAAATATTTCTGTGTTGTTTCTACAAATGGTACACAGGTAGTCCTTGACATAGAACCACAATTGAACCCAAAATTTCTGTTGCTAAGTGACACATTTGTTAAATGAATTTTGTCCCATTCTTGCTACAGTTGAAAAGCTAATCACTGCAGGTTTAAAATTAGTAACACGGTTGTTAAGTGAATCTGGCTTCCCCATTGGTTTTGCTTGTCAGAAGGTCACAAAAGGGACCACGTGACCCCCAGGCACTGCAACTATCATAAATACAGGCCAGTTGCCAAGTATCTGTTGCCAAGTATCATTGACCATTGCAATGGTCATAAATGTGAAAAACGGTCATAGGTCACACTGTAACTTTGAATGGTAACTAAACAAACTGTTATAAGTTGAGGACTATCTGTATGAGCTCAACTTGAACGAATCTTCACTTTATCACAGAAAAATGAAAGAGATTGCATTGACTTCAGAAGTCTACCTAACCTATTTGGTTCCCTGAATTAAAGAAGTTTAAAGCAGCCAAAAGTACAAGCACATATAATACAGACTTAATCATTTTTCCTAATATGTGGGCATGGATAACATACATATGCACTCAAACACCGGATAATTTGTGTATAATTTATATAGCAGTTTTTAATCTGGAGTTTGTTTCCTTTTCTAGATCCTTTTGAGATGCAGATCTAAACTGTCATAGTAGTCATAGTCACCCCATCTCTTTCTCACAGGGATAATTTATGTGTTAACATGTTGTTTAATCCTTTCTGTCATTTCGGATGTCATTGGGTTATCCTTTGTAAATACAGCCTTTCTTACAAGGTATTACATTCCTAGCCCAGTACACCCACACACTCCATTTTCTAAGTGATTTTCTTTCCGTTCAGAGAAGGATAAGTTGTTAAATGAAGCATGATAATAAAAAATGGTTTAGATTTGGCTGGAGCTGCAGGGGGGAAATATCCATGAAAGATTCCTGCAGTGTATCTCTATGAAAGAACCAGCCTGTAGCATCATTGGTTGCTTCATTTCAAACACTCGTCCTTCCTGGTCATGTGACTCAGGGGAGCCTCTGCAGCCGGCCCTTTTAGGGTGTCAGGGAGGTGGAAGGATAAGTCTAGGTCAGGGGTCTCCATCCAACCTTGGCAACTTTAAGACTTGTGGACTTCAACCCCCAGACGTTTTGCTGGCTGAGGAATTCTGGGAGCTGAAGTCTACAAGTCTTAAAGTTGCCAAGGTTGGAGACCCGTATTATAGGATCATAGGGAAATATCAGGTGCAGAGGACATGTGTGTTAAATTCAGAGGCAAAAAATTATTGGAAAAGGATTCAAACTGCTTCCCTCCTTCAATCTGCACTGTTCCCCAGGATATTAAAGGGAAGACACAGGGAGAATTACCCATTTCTGTGATAACTACTTCAATCAGGTGATCCTCCACTTATGATCACATTTGAGCCCAAAATTCATGTTGTTAAGTGAGACATTTGTTAAGTGACTTTTGTCCCATTTTATGACTTTTCTTGCCACAGTTAAGTGAATCACTGCAATTATTAAATTAGTAGCACAGTTGTTAAGTGAATTAACATTCCCCATTGACTTTGCTTGTCAGAAGGTCATAAAAAGTGATCCCATGATCCCATAAATAGGTCATAAATAAGAGTTTCCAAGGATCTGAATTTTGATCATGTGACCATGGGGATGCTGCAGCGTTCATAGGTGTGAAAAATTGTCATAAGTCTCTTTTTCAATGATGTTGTAACTTTAAACAGTCACTAAATGAACTGTTGTAAGTTGAGGATTTCCTATATAGCGTACGTTATTCTGTAGCATCTATTTCTTGATCTGCATTATCTTGAAGAGGCTGATAGCACTTTTCTTGCCAGTGCACACACATTCACAAGTGCAAAGTTAGAGAAGAGTAGAAAGATGCACATAGACATAAATGCTACATGGGAACCATGCCCAAGGCCTGTAGAGACTTAGTGGGGCAGGATGGAGGGAGATACAATGTCCCTGAACTAACTTGTAAGGGCAGGCGGCTTGCCAAGCACTCAAATATATTCACATGACCACAGGGGCACTGCAGTGGCTGTAACTCTGAAACCGAATAAACAGCTGGGGGGGGGGGGCGTTGTCCATTGTAGCTTCATTGCAAGTCGAGAACTTCCTGTAGTAGAGAAATGTAAAATGTCAATAGAATTACATCTTTTTTTTAAAAGATTTTTTTAAATCTTGATGTCATTTTTGGACATAATGTTCTGTCATTCATTTTATGCATACAGTTTGTCCAGCTCATTTTTGTCTTTAAATTAATCTATTAATTCTTTTGCAGCAACTTTCTAAAGTTCTGGAGAAATAATTTCTTCTTAAAGCTTCTTTGTTCTCATTGGATCTCCTGGACCCCTTCCTGTTCTTTCCTCAAATAAATATAACCCCCTTTCTGTCATGAATAGCTATGCACGCAGGGGCTGCATCCTAAACTCTAGATTTTGACTAATGTTGTGGTTAGGGAAATAAACTTCTGCCTAGGTATTTTACATTTTGAGATTTCTCATAGTAACTAGAGATATGGCATGGTTGAGATTAAGTTTTATGCAGGAAATTACCTTCAGAGATATAGAAGCTCTACTGTGATCTTGTTCCACAAATGCGTCATTTATCTGAATAAATAGCATTACTGCTTTAGCAGTAATGCTTTGTCAGATACTGTACATTAAAATCTTCCTCCAAAAGAATACTTAACTGTAATTGTTCTGCGTTGGAAAAGACACATGTTTTCCTATAACAAACATGAGCGCACACTGTAATTTATTTCTAATTTAATCTTTGTTTTTAATGTATAATTTCAGAATCTTCTCTAAATAATTAATTAGGCTATTGCAGGCAAAACAAGCTGGTCCTTAACTTCGATAAATCAAAACTTTTAGTTTTTGCTGGGAAAGGTAAGGGAAGAAGGAAGGGGAAGGAGAAGAGGAAGGAAGAAAGTAGTGAAGGGAGAGAGGGTGAAAAGAAAGAGGTAAGGAGAGGAGGATGGAAAGGAGAGAAAGAGGAGGAGAGAAGGTAGGAAGGGGACGAGGAAGAGCAGGAGTAGGAGAAAGGTATAGGACAAAGGAAGGGAAAGGAGAGGAGGAAGGAAGGAAGTAGAGAAGGGAGAGAGGGTGGAAAGAAAGAGGCAAGGAGAGGAGGATGGAAAGGAGAGAAAGAGGAGGAAAGAAGGTAGGAAGGGGAAGAGGAAGAGCAGGAATAGGAGAAAGGTACAGGAAGAAGGAAGGGAAAGGAGAGGAGGAAGGAAGGAAGTAGAGAAGGGAGAGAGGGTGGAAAGAAAGAGGTAAGGAGAGGAGGATGGAAAGGAGAGAAAGAGGAGGAAAGAGGGTAGGAAGGGGAAGAGGAAGAGCAGGAATAGGAGAAAGGTACAGGAAGAAGGAAGGGAAAGGAGAGGAGGAAGGAAGGAAGTAGAGAAGGGAGAGAGGGTGGAAAGAAAGAGGTAAGGAGAGGAGGATGGAAAGGAGAGAAAGAGGAGGAAAGAGGGTAGGAAGGGGAAGAGGAAGAGCAGGAATAGGAGAAAGGTACGGGAAG